ATTCTTAAAGTAAGCAGGGACCTGACCAGAGACCAGAGAAGCATTAATTATAGAGAGCACTCTGGGACCGATGGACTGAAAAGCACTTTTAAACAAAGATGAGGGTAAGATGTGGAGGGGGCATGCAGAGGTCTTCATAGAGTTAACTAGTTTGGTTAACTCAGGCAAAGAAACAGGAGCAAAGCTATCCAGGATGATGGGCCTGGTTGGAGTCGGGAGAGGCAGCGATAAGGCTGAAGGAGAGATGCTAGATCTAACCTTATTGACTTTGTCCACAAAGAAAGACAGAAAGTTCTCACAGTCTGCAACAGAGTGGATGGAGGCTGTAGGAGAGGCAGGAGAGACGATGCTGCTGATGGTGTTAAACAGCACCTTGGGGTTCCCTTTGCTCTGGGACACCAGGTTGGAGAAATAGGAAACCCTAGCGTCTCTGACTGCAGAGTTAAAGGATGTCAGAAGATCCTTTAGGTGCAGCAGATGGACGTGGAGATGGGTTTTCTTCCACACACGCTCAATTTTTCTGCATTGGCGCTTCAGGCTGCGAAGCCTGTCATTAAACCAGGGAGTAGCTTGGCGCATCTCTGATCGCAGCGGCGCTGGTCTGCTGCGCGGCTGCCGGCTTGTGGAGCTCTTGGGAGACCTCTACCTGGTTTTACCCAGCGGTCAGCCCGGCGTATCTCTGACTCAGAAGCTCTGGTGTTGTGCACAGTTAACTCCGGTTGTAGCTAGGTTGTTACCTCCGTTAGCTTAGCCCCCACCTCCGTGTTAGCTTTGGGTTAGCTTGTAGCTACATCGCTTCAGTTCGACGGGTGTCATCATTTGATCCCAGCCTTACAGCCCCACCCTCAGCTCCACCTCTTTTCCCTTTTGTGGAATTGTCTGGGCTTGACGAAACCTGTGACACGGTCAAAATGGCGGTGGTGGCCACCTCCCGTTTTAGCACAAAAACGTGTTATTGGAGCCTATGGACATGAAATGTCCAGTATATATGTCGATGGTTTGACTGTATAATCAGTTTCCAACCTGTGTAGCCTAATCCACACAAAGCTTAAAACGAGCTACTCGACCTCTTCAAAAAAGCATTTATAATCATGACTGTTTTATCAGCCTACCAGTCCTGAAGGAAGCAGCTAGTTCTGATCTTGAAGCGGTCATGATTCACACACAGAGGAGGGGTGACGTCAGCCTGGAGGTCAGGTGTCGTGAGAAATTGTGTTCCCCTTAAATATTCTGTCCCCCCGTGTCGGGACATCGCACTTCTGGCTATTTTCACAACATTTGGGACCAGGTCAGGAGTTCTGGTACTGACACGTTGGGACCGGGTCGGGAGTTCTGGTATGTCTTTTGTCTTTGATTTAATTGTTTATTATTCAAACTAACAAGTACAGCAGCGGTGTAGCTATTATTTTCTACTTCTTAGTTGAAATAGCAGACTCCATGCATCAAGGGCGCACTACTGCCCTCTGCTGGTTCTTTCAGGTTACAGTCATAGTCCAAAGGGTAACGTGGAGCTCATACGTCCCTAAACAGCTACTGTATTTCAAGGTGGTGGATGACCATGGAGCGTCGACCACAGTTTATGTATTTAAAAATGCATAATTTCAAGTTGAGAGTAACGTTTAGAATTGATGTTGGTGAGAATTATTAGTGAAAAAGGACACGTTTGTGAACTGGAAACACAGGATTTATAGTAAACAGGTACAAATATCAGGAGGTAGCCTCCCTGGTAAGCTTTTTCAGGTACATCCAACCGGGAGGAGAAATAAAGGGAGGCACTTTGTCTTTCTCCTGGCCAGGGAACGCCTTGGGATTCCTGCAGAAGAGCTGGCCCAAGTGGCTGGGGAGAGGGAAATCTGGGCCTCTCGACTTAGACTACTGCCCCCGAGACCCAACTCCGGATAAGAGGAAGAAAACGGATGGACGGATGGAGGAATGTGTAGCGTCATGAATGGCCTCTAATATGTGACAAAGGTCACATTTTCCCAGTTGGGTCAAGCTGGGTCGACTGTAACTTTGCCCCACAGATTAACCCGCCAGGAGCCGTGATGTCTGCTGAAACCATCTTTATCTGCTGCTGTTCCATCCCAAGATGAAGGACACCAAGATTTTACAATAATAATTTTAAATAGTAATTTGAATAAACTTGACTTTATTACTGTTATTATAATCATCAGAAATAATCTCTTGGTTCAGTATAAATGTATTTTAATTACTGAAATGACTTCTTATGCTTTGGGTATAATAATGAATATTGTTGATAATCCTAATGTGTGTTCAGTAAACCAGAAGGTCATCTTGCACGTTTAACCAGCCTCATGCAGAAGGGATCCAGGGTAAAGGGTAAAACCATCACATGTCTTTACGTCATGACTAAGCTTTCTGACGCTGAGAGGGCGTGTTCTGAGGGTTTTTGTTAAAACTAAATCTCCCGCAGATAAAGTTCAGTTCATGAACCCACCAGAGGAAGAGGGTCGGCCGCCCGAGTCTCTACTAAGCTGTT